GTTCTCAGCGGAAGAGTTTGCATTCATCCATTTCGGCAGAATAAGAGTTTTGGTGCTTTTGACAGAGAGAGACGACAGTTGTTTGAGCGGAGAAGTAAAGGCGGGTGGTGATGAAGAAAATGCATTTGAATTTGATTTCTGGAGTGTTCGGAGTACGTTTGTGCTGTTGCTCTTGTTGCTGCTGTTGAATACATCTGTGAGGTGGATTTCAGCACTGGAGTTGTCGCGAGAGACACAAACAGACGCTCACTTTCATCCTGCTCCAGCTCCGTATCTCTCAGCGCTTCAAGAGCGTCTCTCTCGGCCTCGTCAGCAGCAGCGTCTGCGTCTGCGATGTCGAAAGAGTCCATTTTGTGTGCGCTGTAAATTTTTTGTCCAGAAATGCGCTCATTCCTTTTCAGACTATTTATTGTGGCTTCACCGACGAGTCTTTCCCATGAAACAACTTCTTGAAAAAGATTGTAATTGCGCTCTTGCGCCGATGCTGAAACGCTTCGTTCAGTGCTCCCTCACTCTTGGTTGCCTTCCCAGTGCTGAGCTTCTGTTCTTCCACCACCGGTGTCGGCGAGCCCCGCTCAACCACATGCTCGCTGCTTCTTCGCATCAGTGAATCAGCTCTAGGAGATGGAGGTGACAGCGAGGTTGTGGCTACCACAGGGCTCCCAGACTTCTGGCTGTCAACTACGGAAAAGTCATCGTCCCTCCCAACCATATCAATGAATCGCTTGTTCAGCTTCAAGTCGTCTTCAATTTCGTGGCTGCATAGTTTACTGAGGTATGGAATCATGGTTGTCTCGCACGGCGTTTCCTTTTGATGCAAGCTGATGATGCTGGTGTACTTGTTTGCCCGTTTATCCATCGAGATTGCTGCTGCGCTGCTTGATTGCTTGGAAGCGAGTTCGGAGTTGGTGGATGCTTTCCTCTGTTTCGAACCCTGTTCTCCGCCGTGGACTGTTTTCGATTTCTTGAGCGCAGGCTCTGCTTTCCCACCAACGCTGCTCAACTCGTCTTCCGCGGATGTGATTCGAATCACAGCCGAACCTTTGTTGACGATCGCTGCAGAATTGGGCGTCTCGATGGTGAAGTCGGTGCTTGGATAGGACATAATGGGCGGCTGCGGTTTCGTGTTTTCGTAAAAGTAGGCCAAATAGAACGGATGCTTTTGAATTTGGGCGATAGTTAACCGAGTGGACGTGTTCTTATCCAGTAGGCCTGTTACGAGTTAGGTCTCTATTTAGCTGCTCGAAGCGTGTTGGTAGTGGGAGGCGGATACCTCGCAGCATGTCTTCCAGGTCGGCATTGAGTCCTTCTGGCATTTTAAACGCACCAGCAACAATGGTTTCATACAGCCCAAGAAGGTTACCGTCCTCGGAAAACTCGAACGGATATCTGCCTGTGACCATGTTGAATCTGAAAACACGATTCAGAAGGAGGATCTGAGAAATCACGAGCGCTTTCTTACAATGTGACTCCACATGCCCAAATATCGACTGTCAATTCCAAACAACGCGCGAATAATCAACCACTTGAAACCTTCGCAACAACAACATTACCTTTCTCAGCCTCAAAGCTGTCGATGCCCTCACAAATCTCAGGAGCCATGAATTGGTGCGTGCCAGCGAAGACATCGCTCATCAAGTTACCCGACTGGTATGCTGAGAATCGCTGCAGTTAAAAAAGGATTAACACCGTTGGTCAAGCTGGCACACTACTTTTGAGTACCTCTGCGACTCCAAAATCGGATATTTTGACAACACCGTCTGGCGTTATGAGCAAGTTTCCAGCTTTGATGTCGCGGTCTGAAAAGAGCGCTTTAGAATACGTCTTTCCATCAGATACGTCACTTACGAATGATACTTTGCGAGTGCAGGTATCCCACCCCATCAACCAGTTGCGTGAAAAATCTATGCATGCAAAACATGTAAGCTCCCTCTCACAATGTCACAAGTGTGCCTCACTTGTGTGTCTGAGTCAAGGACAGTTTCTTGCCCTCCGACTGCTCCAGCAGTGTCTGCAAGCTGCACGGGCAATACTCAAACACTAAATACCATTTCAGCACGGTGACTTTCTTGTCCTCCACAGAACCATCGTCGTAGGTCCACGTGATGGGCGAATCCTCGATGGAACTGAACCAGTTGAAGATCCCAATGTTTCCCTCCTCGTCTTCTACTTTGCAGTACACGTCAATTAGTGTGATGACATTGCGATTCTTCATTTGCTTGAGAAGCTTGATTTCACTAGAGCAAGAGTTCAGTGACCAACCAGTCAACTAATAACTTTGAGTAACAAACCTCAAGGCATTCTCCACACCATTCGGGATCTTGCGCAGACGCTTCTTGTTAATGATTTTAATGGCCACTCGCTGCAATGTCTGACTGCACAGACCTTCCTTCACTTTCCCGTACGCGCCCTTCCCAATCTGGTCGCCGAGAATGTACGGTCCAATAATCTTGACCACTGTTTCAGGCGTACCATAATCCAAGTCAGCGCTTCCAATCTTTGTGATAAAGTTGGACGACGCATGTCGCTGACTCAGCATGACGTAATCGTAGTAGTCGCTGTTTTCGTCGCGAAGTGGAGCGAGACACGTTTCAGCTGCTTCGGCAGTGCCGGGGACTTGATCGGTGTTGGAATGCTCGGGCGGGGTCTTTGGGGGAGGATTCAAGTACACAGACTCGCTCGGCCGCGGAGATGCAGGCACGCGGTTGTTTTTATCCGGGATCGTGTGGCTTTGTCGTGGGTCTGCCATGGCATCGACATTGGATGTTACACTGCCGAACCGGTTTCCCGCATTCTGATAACTGGTGCTACGGACAATTCCAGCTCCTCCCGTAATGCTTTTCCGCGGGTACATGTGGATGACTGGCTTATCAGCAACACTCTCGCGAGTATTCCCGGCCATTTTGCTGGCGCTACTGACTCTAGAACTGTTGACGCTGCCTCGACTTGTGACACTTGCATGCACATTCGAAGGTCCATTGTTTGACAAGACAGCCGGTGTGCTGCGATGCTGTTGACCGTCGGAATGGAGGCCGTCAGCCTGGCTCTTTCTGAGCGCAGCATGCACGCGTGCTGTCTTGCCTTGCTGTGATGGTTTCTTTTTGCTAAGACTAGCTGTGCTCATGTGCTGCTTCTTTTCGAGATTTGTGTCGTCTTTCTTTTGGTGGACTGAAGGGATGCTGTTGACTGTCTTGGAACGTGAAGCAACTCCTTGTCCTGCGGGAAGTAACGGCGGCGGACATTCTTCATCTTCGCAATCTCCGAAATTGACTTTTGTCACGTGTGGAAGTGACTTGCGGTTTCGTGTGAGGGATTCCACGCGTGGGGTTGACGAAGATCGTCGGACAGCCGAGCTGGTTGAATTGTTGGAGCCAATCGATGTTGCATTGGATGTTTGATTTTCTTCTTCGTCTGTCTGGCACTTTGACGAAAGCTCCTTCTTGACTGAGACGGATCGATGCTTTAGGGAGGGAGAGATGGGCCGTGGCGAGGACGGCGGGTGTGGCACGTGGAGGACTAAGCACGTGGCGTCCCCATCTACGGGCAGTTCTGGATTGACTACCTTGGAAGATGCGTTCTTTTCCTGTGTGATCAAGGCCTTCATGGTTGGCAGCGAGAAACTTGAGATTTATAAACTTCGTGATTCGCGTTTTGTAAATCCTCAAATGTCAACACAACTTATGCACATTGGAGGCATGATGGTGAATGCATTTGGATGCCGTAATCTGCAGATCCCTTTTTATCTGATTTTGATTTGCTGCATTCAGTCACTCTGTTGTCTTGTCTGTCGCCACAACACTTTACACACAGACAGGCAGATTCAACTTTGTTTCTCTCCTGCAACTTATACTCGATGCAAACGAAGCATCACTCTTGGTTTTTGCTGTTCATGATCTGGCACAGCCACATGACTTTCACATGAACAAATGCTGACCCACAGTTGCTGTAAAAGCAACTCCCTCACCCACCAGCCAAAACTCACTGTCTGATCCATTGCTTCTCCCCCAAGATCAATCCAAGGTAGTCTGCGGCAACTCAAACTTATGAACGCCGACTACTCTTCTGGCAACAAAGAACGCAACTATCGCCACGCTCGCAGACAAGTTTGCGCAGTACTTGAAGGACGCCAACTTCACAGCCCCCTTTGACAAGAACTTTAAAGACGCAGGCAAGAAGGGTAATCTTGGTGTTATGCAGACTTTTGATCGTCGGTGAGTCATGTCCTTATCTCTTCTCCAATTCATCAACCTGAAACTGAAGTCATCAACAACAGCGTTGCTAAGATCTGGAAGCAAAACAACAAAGCCCTCCCCGTCCTCTACCTACTTGAAACTCCAATGAACTCCACCACAACCGAAAAGGACTGCGCTACCCCAGCTGACTGTGGAAGCCCCGACGTCCTGCGCGACCTTATGCAAGCCGGAGTCGAAATCTTTTCTCCAGCAATGAACAGCTTTGTCGCTGCAGAAAACCACCGCTTTGTTGAGCACCAGTACTCCAAGGATATGAAAGCAATTGCCGCCGATTTGGGACTCAAGGATAAAGTCTTTTTCGGATCTTGGTCCTTGGAACGTTCGGGTTGTGTTTCACAGTACGGAAATGCCACTTTCAACGCGGCGCCTGGGTTGGGTTCGATTGGTGGATGTGGGTTTTACTACAGCTCTGTTGAGGGTGAGGCCTCGTTCGGACAGCATGAGGACTCGCTGTTGATGATGGATGCCTTGTTTACCAAGGCAGGAATTGTTGGATTGTTTTCGGACTTTCCTGCTACCGTTAGCATGTACTCCAACTGTGTGTTGAACAAGAAATAGACGAAAAGAAAGTTTAAAGATCCGTTGTTTTGTCTTCTTGGTTTCTCGGCGCAATGAATCTCTTTTGAGACCAACACTATAAGAGCTGGCTCGTGCGATATGAACAGGTTGTCCCTCGCCGGTCTTGGCAGACCATCTACTTGGGAAAAGAGTTGATTTATAATGGTTCTAAATTCCCGCAAAACACGCGCCTGGCTAGCTCAATCGGTAGAGCGTCAGACTCTTAATCTGAAGGTGTGCGACTGCCAATTCAGGTGAAGCGAGCATGCTTGTTAAACTGTTGGCTTTGGGGTTATGAAGTAAACTGTGTTTGGATTGCAGACGTTCGGAAATAACTCGCATGAGAGACGCCATCTCCCTCTGCGCTGACCCACTCGCCAGAAACATGGAATCTATCGGCCACAGAGGAGCAGCGTTGGTTGCTCCAGAAGAGACCATTAAGTCTTTCCAGGTGACAGCAATTCATGTCTTTGGGCAATAGGAACATCACTGATATCTTCTTTGAACCAGATTGCCGTCGACAGTGGAGCAGCATTCATCGAATGCGACGCGGCTGTCACCAAAGAAATGGACCTTGTGTGCCGCCACGGTGTCTGCGACCTCCACTTCACCACCGATATTCTTCAGCGCCCAGAACTCGCCGCCAAGTGCTCCAAGCCATTCACACCAGCTTCCAACGGGACCAAAGCCTCAGTGAGCTGCTGCACCTATGACTTTACCGTCGATGAAATGATGCAGTTGTGCGCAACAATGGAATCGCAAGTCGATGGTGACGCTACACGTGCTCAGGACTACGTAACTGGACAGCCACCCTTCCGCTCAATCGGTGTTGCAAAGGGCGAGTGTCCCAAGATGGTCACAATGAAAGAGTACCTTTCTTTTGCAAGATCCAACAACGTGAACGTAATTCCCGAGTTGAAGGACACTACTGAAAACGCGACGCAAGTCTTTTTTGGATTCAAGGCAGCTCACTGCATCATCTTGTGCCATGCTGTCTGTAATCTCAAAGTAATGTAGCTCAAGAACGGTAGTCTGTGTAGCACGTGTCGCTTGCCGGTCACGGGCAGCTCTCGTCTCAAAGGCGTCGTACCTGCAGCAATTTTAACATTGAAACAAACTCAGCGCAATTTGACACCCCAAGACAGCCAGCAGCCACACCCATAAATTCTATTGAACATAAGCGCTGTCTGAGGGTGTCAAAGCGTCCAAGTTTGCCTTCCAGGCTGCTGTAAAGTTCAGGAAACGCGACGAGGAATGAGGTAAGGCAACTGTTGTGACTTGATGTCTGGTCAAGATATGTTGTGCAAAACGGAATAAAACCAAATCTGCTCATTAACTTGATAGTTGGTGTATTGCTGAATCTACTCGTTACTTAAATGCATTGAATGAATGGTCGTCAGCAGTTCAGCAGCCCTTTTGGAGCGAGCAATTCATCGTGTCAGCTGCAATGGTTTATACCTCAAGCGAAGAATTACCGTGCATCATGCGTCTGCTCAAGATAAAAAGTGTGACCAGAGTGATGATGTCAGCGTTTCGTGGCAAGTTGATAAGGACGATTGCAATAGAAAATCGTCTGCTTTCGCAGACCCCAAGACATTATCTGCCTCTCGATTATGCCACTGGTAAAACTTCGTCGGCGCCATAGCTTGTAGCAGACGAATGTCGGTAGCCAGAGGGGGTTGGGTTGAGTTGGTCTCCATCTCCATATCACCCTTTTACTTAAAATCGTAAGTGACATGCGTGACCCTGCAGCAACCACTCGCCATCACAGCACGTACGCCCATCCAAGAGCAGAGACGCCATCAGCATCCATCCCGAATAGTGAACGGAAGGAAGGGTGCTTGGATGACTCTTGCACTTGGATGGGCTGCGGCTTCGAATCATTTTCCCTCCTATAACCGACCACGCAGACAACTAAACATACCTTTCCCTCTCTCTCGCATCAAATAGAAAATGGAGAACGACAAGGGCGAAGTGAGTATTCCGCATCCCGCCCATCGTAATCCGGCATCGAATCGTAGCAACCGAACATAATCAATCCACTCAATCCGGCTCGAATAACTCATCTCGAAACCTATCCAATTCCTCAGATCGTCGATTTGTACATCCCAAGAAAGTGCAGCGCCACTGGCCGTCTCATCACTGCCAAGGACCATGCCTCAGTCCAAATCAGCATCGGTGAAGTCGATGCTAACGGTCGTCTTACCGGAGCCACTAAGGCTTACGCCCTGTCTGGATTTGTCCGCTCTTTGGGAGAGGCCGATGACAGCATCAACCGTCTTGCCACCCAGGACGGTCTGCTGAAGAAGTACGTTGTTTTTTGTTTTGCATGTGGTTGTGCTGTACTCACCACTAGGATACTATCGCGAACAGCGTCTGGGCTTACAGCCAGTAAATTATGCATTCGGCATTTCTTACAGTGTTGTGGTGTTGGAGGGCGTGTGTGGAATCTGAATAAGGGGGCTCTATTCAATGCGCTTTTGACGGAATCGAAAATAAACTCTTGGAAAGACGCACTGTTGATACTGTCTATCGTTGATGACTTCCAATTATTTACGTCGAATATTTACACATTTTACGTGAAACAAATTTAGAAAATAAATGACCATCAAGGAACGCACGAACGAGTTCCACGCATGCTGCGAGTCCTTGTCACAGCGGTCCAACTCCAGTGCGAAGCTTCTCAACCAACAGAACCATCAGAATGCAAAGACTGAGTTTGCCAAGGCTGCGAGTCTGATTGCCCGGGAAATCAACGCAACTATGGGTGAATAATGACATTATTATGCGCCTGTGCCATACAGTTGCAGTGACTCACTCAGACTCAAAATGAACCAGCCAAGCTGCATTCGCTCACGCTTCTCGCAAAGAAAAAGACGTTGTTTGACGATCGGCCCAATGAAATCAATGAGCTCGTCCAGGGAATTAAACAGGACATCAACAAAGTCAACCGCCAGATTTCGCTGCTGCAACAGCACCAGCGACAAACCGCACTCTCAATGCAGCTGAAGGAGCACTCGTCAAACGTCATTACTTCACTGCAGACAAAACTCGCCTCAACCAGTTCAGAATTCAAAAACATTCTCGAGATTCGCACCCAGAACATGAAGGACCAAAAAAACCGACGGGACCAGTACAGCTTTGCTCCAACGAGCGGCTCTTCAACACCTCAACCCCAACAACCCGGATACCCCGTCCAAAACGTCACCCCTCAACCCTCACCCTTTGCAAACCCATCACCTGCAAACAACAACTCGGGCCCTTTATTTGGCGCGATTCCTTCCTCAAATTCAGCAAGTGCGCCGCTTTTTGCAGGTGACACCTCTTCCTCATCCTCATCCTCTCTCTTCTCCGCCTCGGCAACATCCGCCGCAAATTACTCATCGCCCTTATACAACCCGGACCGCAAATCACATCTCGCTGACAACGACTCGATGCAACCAGACGGTCTTCGAAACCGCGGTGGTGTCACAGGCAACGGCAGCGATTCCGTGATTGATATGGGCGGATTCCAGCAGCAACAGCTCGTGCAAGGAAACAACAACGCAGCAACTATGGAATACATTGAATCACGCGGCCAGGCGATTGAAAGCATTGAATCCACGATTGCAGAACTTGGCCAAATTTACAGCCAATTTACCCAGATTCTGTCGCAACAGCGGGAAATGGTGCAGCGGATTGATGTGAATGTGATGGACACGGAAGTGAATGTTTCAAACGCGCATGGAGAATTGGCAAAGTATTTGGAAAGGTTGCAAGGGAATCGATGGCTCATGATTCAAGTCTTTGGCATTTTGGTCGTCTTTTTCATGTTGTTTGTCGTCATAAGCTGATTGGGTCTTTGTACTCTCCTGTCTGTTTTCTTGTCACTATGCCATCTGGACGCGCTTTAATAAATAGCCGAACTCTCTCACTGTTCAAACCTCATTCAAAAGTTGGAAATTTGCAACTGCAGATCCGATCAAGAATCTGGGACATCTGCTCTTGAATTTATTACACTTATCTACAAAAACCAAATGTTGGTGGGTGTGCGCAAACAGAATCTCATTCAAACTACGTCGGTTTGACTACTACATTTCCACATCCATTCCCGTATCCGCTGGAACTGAATTCACCGGCACAGGATCCACATTTTCAGACGCTTCAACCTTGTCAGCATCACCTACAACATCCATCACATCTTCGCCGGCGGCATCTTCAACCTCAATCTCAGCCCACCTCTCCTCAATCCACGCTTCCAACTTCTCCTTTGCCTGAGCATCGCTCGCGGCTGTGCGTGCAGCCTTTTTCATACCACGTCTTGCAAAATAATCTTCCGTATCCTCAACAAAAAACATCTTGTACGTGTTGAGACAAATCTTGAGTTCAAGACCAGACCGCGACTCAACAGCGTCATTCAAAATGCCGCCAGGTAAATGTTCTACATCCACATTCAGAGTGCGTCTCAAGAAGGGCTCGCTTCCGAAAACGGGTCCATTGTTGCTCGAAAAGTGCGTAACGTGACCGCGGCGAGGGAGTTGGATTGCGTGTGGGTCATTGTAACCGACGCCGTTGCTGTTTCCAGTGAGTTGAATAAATTGGTCCACATAGACACTCCATAGTTCTTCGACAGACGTGGAATCTTGAAGCACTGCGTCTTCTTTTGTGAGAAGTTGCATGGTAAGCACTTTGGGTGCCACGTGCTGATATTATAAAAAAAAAAAGCCATCAATGAACTGCATCAACAACCAATCCTGTCAAAAAAGCAGTTCTCACATAATCCAATCGATACAAGTTATCGTCGTCAAGAAGCCGCTCCGCATTCAACCGATACACATTTTCCTGCCTTGCACTCGACGCATGCTTTGACCGATCCCTCAAATAAAGCTCCAACAAATCATTACTCAACGGGTCAGCCATGACCACCTGAATCTGCTTGACAAGGGTCGAAACAACCTTGTCGAGCGTGTATCCAAGATACGCGGTAGTTCCAAAGAGTCCTCGCAGGCGATCTTCATATTCGATCGCGTCGATTTTGGATTCAAGCAGTTCATGCACGGCGCGCATGAGACCGGCGTAGCGGTCTTTGGGTTTAGGTGTTTGGTTTTCAACTGCATCGGGTTGTTGGAGGCCCAGATTGACTGCGGTTGGGTTGATCACGCTCATGAAGGCAGGTGGGGATGTTTGGTACTCGTCAGAGAGTTCCTTCAATTTCGCAAGCCGCGCGCACAGGATCTTATACAACAGAAAGCATTAAAGATTTGAACAATCAAGGCTT